TCGTCGATGTAGCACGCTGCCCCTTTCACCTCCCTCAGCACTGCGTCCATGACTCGCTGGAACACCGCGGATGCGTTCCTCAGCCCGAAGGGCATGAAGTTCCATTCATAGAGTCCATCCGGCCCGTGAAACGCTGTTTTCTTCTTATCCTCCTCGGCTATTGGTATCTGGTTGAATCCTTGCCGCAGGTCCAGTGTAGAGAAGACCCAGCTTCCGTGCAGCTGGTCAAATATCTCCTCCGCCATGGGCATGGGGTATCGGTCTGTCGCTGTGACTTTGTTCAAGCCCTGGTAGTCCCCGCACATGCGCCGAGACAATACTGCCCCCGTCAGGTCTGTCCGTGCCGCTACAACTGTTGCTGCGGCGTAGTCAGACGTTGATCGTCTGATAAGTCCAGCCGCTAACAGCTCCTGACATTTTTCAGAGCAGATACTGAGGTCTTGCGGGCTCATCCTCCTTCGCCTCTGGTACACGGGGACTTCGCTGGTCAGAGGCAGATGCATGGTGCTGGTCACACACCTGCCCAGCTCCTGTATCGAGTGGGCGAACGCCGCTGTGTGTTGCCTCAGCACTGCCTCCAGCCTGATTGCCTCTGTGCCTTGTATGGCGCTACCTATGTCCCAGCTAGTCTCGGCTGCCCTCGCTGGTGCCTCTACCGGCCGTGCTCCTTCCGCTCCTTCTGCTGCTCTTATTGCTGCTGCTCCCTCCCTTGCCTGTACACCTGCTTCTTCACCTGGCTCGGCTGACACCTCCCCTGTCCTGGCTCCCATTGCTCCCTCTGCCACCCTCACTTCATTCTCTTCCCGCGCCCCTTCCCTCAGATCCTCCACTCCGCTAGCCATGTAGGCCCGGCTGGGTCCCAGGAAGACTTCATCCGGGTCGGGGATCCACCGATCTGACGGATCCTCCTGATCCTCCGAATCCCAATCCATCTCTGGCTCTCCTTCCCACCCCTCTTCCTCCTCCTCTTCTTCCTGGTCCGGATAGGTTCCTGGTATCCCTAAATGATCACTCAGCCTCTCCATCCGCTTCTCTCACGGCACTCCTCTTCGCCTCATCTCCCATGCCTCCTCCTCCAACAGCTCCAGGAATCTTTCCGCTTGATATTCCTTCTCCTCATCGGCTTCCGTCTTGGGATCCGCCCATGCGGCATGGTCCCTTCTTCGCTCCCATCTGTGGCGTTCAAGATGCCTATCCATTGTCGCTATCAACCAGTGTATTGCATTGAGGTCCATGGCCTTTCCCAGAGCTCTCCTCCTTTCTTCTTCTGTCACATCGGTGCTCTCAGTTGCTCCTGCCATGAAACCCATTGTCAGTTCCCTCTCCATTGCGGTCGGCTCCTCCCAGACTCCCTTCAGCCGGTCGTACACCATCCCCGGCCCTTCTTGCCCGTCAGTCAGCTTGTATCCTTCTGAGCTCTGGAATGACACTAGTGTGGGCCAGGCCTGCCTCGGCTTGCCTACTTCGTTGCACGGGTACTACGTCTCGTGGTCTGCATGGCGTACCGGTGCTGGGATCCGAGCCGGCTCCAGTATGTCCGCCACCAGCCGTGGCTTCGGCCTCTCCATGAGGGACAGTTCATATAGCAGCGTGGTCTCCGGCAGCACGTTCTGCCAATACCTCCTTAGCCTGTGTGCTCTGCTGCCGTTCTGCGCTGCATCCCACGCCACCCCTGCTCCTAGTTCTGCTCGAATTTCTTCTTCTGCTCGCTTCACTGCCTCTCGCTGATCATCCCTGGTATCCACATTCTCCACTATGTATGCCACCTCTCCTTGCTTGCGCTTGATCATCTTCAAAATCCTGATGAGTTCCCGGAACAATCCACTCCTCGGATCCGCCAGTCCTCGTCCCTCCCCTGCCCGAGACAGACCCTGACATTCCCACCCTGCCACCACCAGATCGATGTGCCCCCAGTGGGCCAGTGCATCTTCCTTCACATCCTCCACTCGATGGCAGGTCCACTCGGCCCCCTCCTGTACCGCTTCTGCGTACAATTGTGACGGATACCTTGCCTCCAACTTCTTTATATGATGCCACGATATCGTGCTCGCTACTTGGTCATTATCCACGTAGATGTACTTCTTCACCCTCAGGCCCGCTTTCAGCGCCGCTGCCAATCCCGTGCTGATCCCTCCGAACAGCTCCAGCAGCACGATCGGCTTCTGAAACACCCGTGCATCCAAGTGTAGTTGCCTCAGACCGCCGCTTTCTCCCCACTGCTGGCGATGCCAGTCTCTGTACCTCCTCTCCTCCTCCAGCGCTTCCCAGTTCAAGTGCCTCCGCGGTCTTCACCTCCGCCTGGTAGGCTTCTCGGGGCTCTCTCCGTATGAAGTGCACTGGCAGCTCAGCCACCTCCCCATCGTATTCCCAGTATGTCACTCGATACATCAGGCGTTCCTCCCACATGCAGATGGTGGATCCGATGCTGTACAAGAATTCCACTCCTAGTAGCAGGTCGTAGTCCTCAGAAGGCGAGAGGCCGCACTGCAGCTTCACCGAAAATTCCTCCTGACTTCCCTGCCGTATCACGATTTCCACCGTGGCCCGTGTCTTGAGCATCCATTTCGTTCCACCTCCCTCCGCCGTCATCAGCAGCAGTCCTTCCCTTATCTGCCTCTCTGGCCGATCTAACTGTAGCTGCTCCGCCAGTCGCCTTCCGATCAGCACCGGATGTGCCCCCGTGTCAATGATAGCCTGCTTCACTGGCAAGCCCCCGATAGTGATGTACCCCTTTTCTGCCACCAGCACGGATGCTGCACAACTGAGCCTCTCTAGCGGATGTCTGCGAGGCGCCACACCTGTCCTGTCTTCTCCGGCCAATCTTCTCGGTCCAAGCTCCTGCCGTCCTTCCGTCCTCTGTCTCAGGTTCCTTTCCCTCGGCCTTAATCCCAGCTCGTCTCTATCCCTGGCCGGCCTTGCCATGAATCCACACTCCTCTTCACTTTCTCCTTCTTCCTCCTCCTGCCTCGCCACCATAGCTGGCCTTCGCTCAGGCTCTCTCTCTCGGTCTTCCAGCTGGGCCTTCAGCCTTTCTATCTCCGCACGCATTTCCGCCATCTCCCCCCTTTCTCGCGGTTCTCCTCGTCTGGAGTAGCAGTCCTTCTCCACGTGACCCCTTCTTCCGCACTTGTCGCATGTCGGCGCCTCCGGGCAATCCCTTCATAAGTGGTCTTCCTTCCCGCAGATGGAGCATGCCGGTGGGTTGCGACAGTCTCGACGCAGGTGTCCGCTCCTTCCACAGTTATGACATTTGCGAGCATCTGCCGGCCCCCTTGGCGGCCGCTCGTGTTCCACTGGACTCGCACTCCACGCCGGCCGTCTCCTTTCCACCTGCCGCTCGGATGTCCTCTCCACCTCGAACAGCCTCCGTCCTGTCTCCACCCTCTTCGCCGTTTCGTATGCCGCCTTCAGCGTCGCTGCTGCCCCCAGCTCAAAGATCTTCACCTGTACGTCCCGCTGGAGCTCGTAGTTGAGCCCGTTCAGGAATTTGCTGACGAGCCGCCCTTGATCCGTGCAGTTCATATCCTCCCCTAGCTCCATCAGCCTCCCGTAATACGCCAGCAATGATTCTCCCGTTCGACGCTTGAAGTCACGAAACTCCACGACCCGCTCCGGCGTTTGCAGCGGAAACTGTTCTCGCAGCAGCTCCAGAAAACGCTTAGTCGGATCTCTTTCTCCCGCTTTCCCTTGCGACGCCCACTCCAGTAGCTCGCGACGACAGATCCGGTAATACGTCTCCGCCTCTCCGGTCAAGGTATTCGCCAACCCGCGGAAGAACTCTTCCGGCGCCAGTTGGTCGCGCTCCCATCGCGCTCGCAGGTTATCAAGCTGCATGAGGTAGTTCTTAAGGGACGGTCCTCGTCGCACCTCTCCCGAGAACCGCTCTGGCACCTCCACCTTCGGCAGCATAGTATACCGCCATCGCGCCGACGCCGCCTCCTCCTCAAATCCTTGCCACGACGCACTGCGCTGATATGCTCGTCGTGCTCCAGTTCTTCCTCCTGCGTTCGTGTCAGTGTCCTCCGATGCTGGCTTCTTCGCCTTGCCTGCTCCCGCTCCTTCCGTTCCTTGCGTCTCCTCATGCACGGCGACAGAGCCCGCGGCTACTCCTGTCCTGCCGTGCTCGCCTTCCTTCGCGCCGTGCGCGGCGGCTTCTCCCTGAGCTGTATCTACGTTCTCTCCGTCTCCGTCCATCGCTTCGTTTCTCTCTCTCAATTCCTTCAGCGCGAAATCTAAACCCGATCTCGTGGGCATACCTCTATTGATTGCTTGTATGTGATGAGCTCTAAGCTCCGTCACACACCAGCTCACACCTCCAATGCCTACTCTCCATTGCTCGTCATATCTCCCTAAGGTCACTGCTTGCTCTGATTTACAGCATAGCACTCGTGTTAAAAGGAAACATACAAGCAATGAATAGGACATTCGGGTATCCTCCAATTCTACCAGCGCTACCTCCGCCATTCTCCTTTACTGCCTCCCCGCCTATGCTAGCAGCTATGAGATGCTTGGCACAGGTTTGCAGCCGTCCTGCTTCTACCCACACTACCCCGCCCTTGCTGCTTAACCTCCAGCTGGTACTGACGCATCCAGCTGGCTTCCCGAACCTATCCTGCACACATGAAACAAACAAGCATGCATACATTCACCCATCCATCACATCCCGCGGTACTGCTTCCTGCTGCCGCTGCCTCGACTGCCTCTGTGCTTACAGCCGCCCACTTTGCTTACGTAAGTTCCTGCCCTCGCTCGCCCATGCAACCCACCACCCCGCAGGCTCGGCAGCTGCCAGCTCCCCTCCACCCCTCTTCATCTCCGAAAGGTCATGTGTCTCCTCAGCTCCCCTCCTCGGTACCATTCGACTCGCTATGTACAATATCTACAGTATGTACATTCCTTCCCGCGCCACCTTACCCTTCACATTCATGCAAATGTGACAACGCTGCAGCAAATACCTGACCCGACGCTGCTACCTGAGCAGACTCAGCGACCGGAGGAGACTAAGTAGTCAGTGTGTACAGGCTCGACCCCGGCTGACGGGTAAACGTGGCCAAGTGACGGCCCGTCCGAGCACAGGTACAGTGGGTCACTCGCTGACTCGCAGGAGTGAAGTGGTGAGCCCCTCCATCCTGGAGGTCAGCACCACTCACCAAGTTCGTAGAGAACGAGGGGAGGTAAAGACCCGACAGGGTGCCAGAAGGGTTCGCCGGACACGGTAGAACAGTGGAGAAGTGGGCAAGGACAGGACCCCCAGAGAAGTCTGCCAGGGGGACTGCCACTGGCCGACTAAGCGGCGTAAGTGTGGTGCGGTCTCGAAAGAAGGAGCGGGAAGCACCCGAGTCAAAGGTGAAGGTGTGGGTGGCCGGAGCCGACGCGGTACCTGAGAGCGCAGACTCACCAGCACCTGGGGGAGCAGGCTCACTAGCACCTAGAGCAGCAGCCTCACCAGCACCTAGAGCAGCAGCCTCAATGCCCGGGTCAGGCGGAAAACACCGGTAATAGTCACCCTTATCACTAATAGACACAGCATACATTGCAGGAAGAATAGCATCATAATCAAGATCAAAGATCGTAACACCCGCCCTAAACAGCTCGCCCTAGCTAGGGATCTCAGTAGCGTTGGGGAACTGGTGATGCCAAGCGTTCGTCAGGCGGCCGAAGCAGCGCTAGGTGGAGTGCGGACCCCCACACTGCTCACCCGTGTGGTCGCCTGTACGTAGAACGTAAGTACAGGGGCCAGCACCCCAACCCCGCTGACGAGCAGTGTACCACTCACGAAGCTGCTGGGGGGAAGGGTTTTACGAGTGCGCTCCTGCTGCTGCTGCTGGCGTTGACCACCACCGGAGCCGACCCTCTGCGAAGAGCCGCCTCGACCAGCTCCACCTACGCCCCCGCTACCTCCACCACCGCCTCCACCTCCACCACCTCCGCTCGCAACGCCACCGCCGCCGCCTCCTCCGCCTCCACTGCCGCCACTAGTGCCCCCACTCCCGCCACCACTCCCACCGCCACCCCCACCCCCTCTGCCGCCTCCACTGCCGCCTCCACCGCCCGCGCCAGCTCCTCCAACGCCCTTGCCCCCCTTGCCCTTGCTTGAGCGGCGTTTCCCGCTAGGGGCAGACGCCGCGCCGACCGACTCAAGACCAACGAGGTCACCCGCAGCAGAAGAGGCAACAGAGGGCAAGAGGGGGGAGGGGGAGCACCCCTCAAAGACAGGGGTACGAGGGTCACCACGAGAGGCTCCTACAGCGACTATACTCTTTTCTGCTGCTAGGAGGCGCTCCTCGAGGAGGTCAATGGTGAGGGTTGTGGGGAAAACAGAGAGGAAGTGGTCCCTGACCGAGCGAAGGGTGTCAAGGAGCTGGGTGACTATGTAGTAGAGGGTGATGTACATGGGGGGGGGGTTCTTGGCGCAGAACTCAGCAGGAAGCGCAGCGCGGTAGCGAATGTCACTAGTGCGAAGGTGCCTAATGAGGTCAGCGACTGTGGGAAAAGCGGCGAGGTCAGGGAAGAGGTACGGCATTATGAGGCGGCTAAGAGCAGCAGTGGCAGGGGAAGAGTAGCGTGCAACGTCAGCGTCGTACAAGGTCTTAGCACTCTTGTACTGACTAAAATGCGCGCGTTCAGCGGTCGGTAAGTGGCGGCGCACAGCAAGGCAAGCAGCAGCATCGCGCGTGGTCCACTGTGAGCGAACAGTGGCGTCAGCATCAACAGCAGGGGCAGGAGAGGCACCAGAGGTGAGGTCAAACAGAGAGAGACCGTCTGCCCTAGCGGCGGTGGTGGTGGCCAGCGCTCGCAGCGGCAGCAGCAGCAGCGCTCGCGGGACATCCCTCCGCCTCAGCAGCTTCGTGAGTGGTACGCTGGGCGTCAGAGGGGTGGGGGTACTGGTCCCTGCACCTACGTTCTTCGTTCCGGCGACCGCGCGGGTGAGCAGTGTGGGGGTGCCCACGCCACCCAGCGCTGCTTTGGCCGCCTGACGGACGCTTAGCGCCGGCAGTTCCCTGGGGCTAGTGAGATCCCTCGCTGGGAGGAGCTTCTTAGGGCTGGTGTAGCGATCTTTGATCTTGATTTTGATGCTATCCTTGCTGCTATGTATGCTGTGGATTATAGTGAGGAGAATGAGGGTTACCGGTGTTTCCAGCCCGACCCGGGCATTGGTACTGCTGCGCTAGGTGCTTGTGAGGCTGCTGCTCTAGGTGCCAGTGCGTCTGCGCTCTCAGGTACTGGTGAGACTGCGCTCTCAGGTACTGCGTCGTCCTCGTCCTCCCTCACTTTCACACTTGACTCCGGGGCTTCTCGCTCCTTCTTTCGAGACCGCACTACCCTTACGCCGCTCGGCCGGCCGGTTGCGGTCTCCCTTGCTGACCCCTCTGGGGGTCCTGTCCTGTCTCACTTCTCCACTGTCCTCCCGTGTCCGGCTGCTCCTTCGGGCACCCTGTCGGGTCTGTACCTTCCCTCGTTCTCTACGAACTTGGTTAGTGGAGCGGACCTGCAGGATGTGGGGGTTCACCAGTTCACTCCTGCGAGTCAGCGGGTGACCCACTGCACGGAGGCACGCACAGGCCGACACCTGGCCACGTTCTCGCGTCGGCCGGGGTCGAGTCTCTACACCCTGACCGTTGAGTCTCCTCCTGTCCCTGCGTCTGGTCAGGTGGCTGCGTCGGGTCAGGTGCTTGCTGCTGCGTCCCGGTCAGGTCCTGAGTCTACTCCCTGTTCTTGTCGCCTCCTGTCTCACGAGACTCTCCTGTGGCACCACCGTCTTGGCCACCCCTCCTTGCCCCGTCTTCGGAGCATGGCTTCCCGTGTCCTTGTCTCTGGTCTTCCCCAGTCTCTCCCTCCTCTCCCCTCCGGGCCAGGACCTTCCTGTGTCCCCTGTGTCGAGGGTCGCCTCCGGGCCACTCCTCACTCCTCCCACTTCCCCCCGACAGAGGCTCCCCTGCAGACGCTTCACATGGATGTGTGGGGCCCAACCCCCGTCTGTGGGCAGGATTACGAGCGCTACTTCCTGTTGGTGGTTGACGACTACTCGCGTTACACCACAGTCCTCCCCTTGCGCAGCAAGGGCGCGGTCACTGAGGTGCTGATCGACTGGATCCGCGTAGCTCGTCTCCAGCTCAGGAAGAGCTTCGGCTCGGACTTTCCTGTTCTGCGTCTGCACTCGGACAGAGGCGGAGAGTTCTCCTCTGGCCTTCTGCGTGCCTACTGTCGTGCGCGAGGCATCCGCCAGTCCTTCACGCTTCCGGACTCACCACAGCAAAATGGGATTGCTGAGCGCCGCATTGGCATGGTCATGGATGTCGCTCGTACGTCCATGATGCATGCGGCTGCCCCCCATTTTCTGTGGCCGTTTGCTGTGAGGTACGCGGCGCATCAGCTCAACCTTCACCCCCGGGTCTCTCGGCCTGCGATGTCCCCAGCCCTGCTGTGGACGGGGAAGGTTGGCGATGCGTCTGTGTTCCGTGTCTGGGGATCTCGGGCGTTTGTCCGCGACCTGTCTGCGGACAAGCTGTCCCCTCGTGCCGCTCCCTGTGTCTTCCTTGGCTTCCCCGCTGACGCCCCAGGGTGGCAGTTTTACCACCCCTCCTCTCGTCGTGTTCTGTCCTCCCAGGACGTCACGTTCGACGAGTCAGTCCCCTTCTACCGTCTCTTCCCCTACCGCACTCCTTCCCTCCCCCCTCCCCCGGACTTCCTTGTGCCGGTTCCCCCCCCGGTAGACCCCCTCCCCCCTCAGGTTCCTGCCCCCTCAGGTGTGTCCCAGGTAGACGCCGTTGACCCGGTCGAGGTTACTGGTGACTCTGGTGCTGCTGCGGGTGCTGAGCCTGGGGGTGCTGACTCTGGGGGTGCTGTGCGCGGGGGTGCTGAGCCTGGGGGTGCTACTGCTGGGGGTACTGGGCCCGAGGGTGCTACTGTGGAGGGTGCGGAGCCTGGGGGTGCTGAGCCGGGGGGTGCTGTGCCTGGAGGTGCTGGGTATGGGGGTGCTGGGTCGGGAGCTGCTGAGCCTGGGGGTGCTGCGTCTCGAGCTGCTGCGCCTGGGGTTTCTCCTGCTGCTGCGTCTCGCCGGGAGCCCCTCTCTCCACACGAGCTGCGCGAGTGGTTCGCTCGCCGCTGGAGGCGTGCTGCTGAGTCTGGAGGTACTGCTGGAGCTGGAGCTGGAGCGTCTTCGACCGTCGAGGGTGCGGGTGCTGCCGGTCCCGGAGCTGCTGGACCTGCGGGTCCTCCTGGAGCTGGAGCTGCTGAGGGCGTTGGTACTGAGCCTACTGCTGTTGGTCCTGTCGCTGGAGGTGTGGGTGGCGCTGGTACTGTCGCTGAGGGTGCTGGTGCTGTCCCTGCTGTGTCTGGAGCTGCTGAGCCTGGGGTTTCTCCTGCTGCTGCGTCTCGCCAGGAGCCCCTCTCTCCACAGGAGCTACGCGAGTGGTTCGCTCGCCGCTGGAGGCGTGCTGCTGAGTCTGGAGGTGCTGCTGGAGCTGGAGCTGGAGCTTCTTCGACAGTCGAGGGTGCGGGTGCTGCCGGTCCTGGAGCTGCTGGACCTGCGGGTCCTCCTGGAGCTGGAGCTGCTGAGGGCGTTGGTGCTGCGCCTACTGCTGTTGGTCCTGCCGCTGGAGGTGTGGGTGGCGCTGGTGCTGTCGCTGAGGGTGCTGGTGCTGTCCCTGCTGCGTCTGGAGCTGCCGCGCGGCCTCGGCCGTACTTCGTTCCGCTCCTGCAGCAGGTTCTTGGTCTTTCTCCTCCAGTAGAGGGTCCACCGCCTGTCCAGTCGCAGTCTCTGCTGGAGCCTTCCTCTCCACTGCCTGCTCCCTCTCCTTACACTGGTCCTACTGGAGGTCTTGCTGAGCGTCGTGAGCCTGCGTCTCGTCCCGCGTCGCCTGTTCGTGCTGCTCGCGCTAGTGGTCGCAGTTCGCGTCAGCGTCCTCCTCCTGTCCCTGGCACGCACCGGATGTCTTTGCGTCCGTCCACTGCTCCCCTGCGTGCCCCTTTGCCTTCTCCTCCTGAGTCCTCTCTTCCTGTGCTTGCCGACCCTGAGTCGGACTCTCTTCGTGCTGCCAGTCCTACTGTCACGCGTCTGCTTGCTACTGTCGTCACTGACCCCTCTTTTGAGTCCACTGCTGCGTCTGCTCTAGTCGCTGAGCTCGTCGACTTTGCTGCTCGCTGTCGTCTCGACTACGCTGCTCGTCTTGTTGCTGAGTCTGCGTCTGTCTGTCCTCCGTCCGTCGGGGGTGAGTGTGCTCTTGGCACGGACGTCCTAGAGGACTGGCAGGAGGAGTTCCAGTGCCTAGCGGCTGCTTCACCTCATCTCGCGTCTGTACTGCTTGCCCCTGAGGTGGGACTGAAAGAAGGAGGAGGGGAAGGGAGAGAGTTGACCCCACGCTCCAACACCCTCCACCCCCATACCCTCCTCCCCACGGCTGCAGGGAGACAAGAGAAAGGGGGGGGTGGGAAGGAAGAAAGCCGCAGAGCGGCGAAGAGGCGTCGGTGCAGATGGGTCAGGGGCGGCAGCAGGGAGTGCAGGGGCGGAGAGGCCCGTCGCGGGCCAGTGCCACGGGGCGCACGACGGGTAGGATAAAAGGGCCCGATCGTGTGCCTCGGGGCGCACGACGAGCAGGGCACCATCGTGTGCCTCGGGGCACACGATGGGCAGATAAAGGGCACCGTCGCGTGCCACGGGGCGCGCGACGGGCAGGGTAGGAGTCACACGCCCGTGGGCGGGACAAGGTAAAGAATAAAATCGTCACGCGCCCTAGGCGCGCGACCGTAAAATTTTAGCAGCGGAAGTAAAGCGGGCCCACAGGCCAGGACGAACTCAGCTCCGATAACATGTCGAGAGTAAGTGAACAGGAATGAAAGGTGGGGCCTAGGCTTAGTAGCCTAGGCCCTAACTAGGTATCGAGCGGGTTTTCACCTAGGGTGAGTGTCGAGTGAGTTGAGAGAGGAAAAGCTGCAGATCATCTACCCAGACCTCAAAGTCAACAGCCCGACCCTCAGCGTCAAAGGTGAGAACACTGGGGGTGGCCATGACAGCAGTAGACTGGCAGAGAGAGCAGTGGGGTAGGGCAGTGTAGTGGCAGAGGCGCTGCTCTTACCAAGCAGGTGGGGCGGGCCGAGGCAGGCCGGCAGGGACAGGACCGCGACGGTAGGGACTGCGGCGTCTCGGCTGCGGTGGCGTGGCGGCTCGGCGGCTCGGCAGCTCGGCTGCAAGGCGGCTTGGCGGCTCGGCAGCTCAGGGGCTCGGCGGCTCGGTAGCTCGGCGGCTCGGCAGCTCGGCAGCACAGCGGCAAGGGCGGCTCGGCGGCTCGGCGGTGACGGCGGCTCGGCTGCTCGACGGGGCCGGGAAGGGCGGCTGAGGGGCCAAGGAAGGGCGGCAGGGCCGCGAAGGGCGGCAACGGGGCCGCAAGGGGCGGCAATGAGGCCGCTGAAGGGCGGCGACGAGGCCGCTGAGGGGCGGCGACGAGGCCGCTGAAGGGGGGCGACGAGGCTGCGAAAGGGCGGCGACGGGGCCGTGGAAGGGCGGCAATGGGGCCGCTGAAGGGC